CTATGGATAAATCCACTCAGCTATTTCTTATACTCACAATTTTTGTAACCCCTTATTTGGAACAATATACACTGTTAAGAAACTGTGACGAAACATCCATTTGTTTTTTTTTTGTTATTAGTTTCTCATATTTTCATTCTTTTAAAATAGAAACAAATCAGATTGCTTGATTCCTGGGTCTCTTGAATACGGTTGTGCAGCCACACAGATCAAAATCCCTATGACTGAAAACAAGTCAGTTTGTGACATCATGAAAACTACAGATGTTGAGAATTGCCATGAATCGTTTCCAGGCTAGACACCCAGATGTCTTCCGTAGTGATAATATGAAAACAATTTAAAATGTTTAACCATTTATCCATGCTGGATACCCAGCATAGACAAGTTCCGTGGGGGCAGTTTTTATGGCACTTGTTAGCATCGTCACTTAACTGCTGTGATCTTGTACTTGCAGGAATGTGGGACTGTGATGTGATTTCAAAAAGCAGCACATTACAGCCATTGAGGCAGGTTGGAAAAAAAAAGGCCTGAAGAAAGTGGATGTGCCATTGAGTTGTTTTTCAAGTGGTAAAACTCTGAACTTTCAATGTTTAATATTAAGCAAAAAAGCTTGTTTAAATTATAGCTGCATTAAACCTCCTTATCAAAGCTTTAGGGCAATGCTGGAGTGGTCACATAGGATTGCCATCTTCAAAACAGCCTTGTAAAGCCAAATTACTTTAAAATTTTTGCACTAATCGGGTTTTTGCCTTATTATTGGAGTTTTTTTCAAAGCCATTATGCACAGGGTTGGCTGCATAGGTTGTCATTTTTCTCCTTAACATGCACTGGTATCATTATCAGGGCCACCAGGCTTGTACAGCCCCTGGAGGGCTCATTTGCCCTATGCATTAAATTCAGAAGGTAAGCTGAATCAATAATAGAATTGCTCTTAACTAACATACACACCCAGAGCCATTTGTGGATGTTGGTCAGCTGCCAGCACAGCTTTACCGATCTCTCCAAGTTAAGTTTTTGAAAATGGTTCTTATTCATCCATATAATTGAAGGCAAAGCTCCAGCATGCTTGGGGCTTTAAGAGACTTGGTAAAGAGTAGTCATCAGTTATCTTGTAGTGACGCAAATGGACTTACAATTGCTGTAAGGCCCTAGTCCCAGTCTTGATTATTCTTAATTCTGTTATTCAATTTTTATCTGTGGTTGCATTAGGTAATCCTTGATTTACTCAGGAAGGCCCCCAGAGGAAAGACACTGTTGGGCTATCAGTATATCTGTTTTCCAACCTGAAGACTAAGTGTCCCACTAAGTGTCCTCGTCTTAACCAAGGTGACTTTAAAAGTAATACTCGTCAAAATCCGGTGCATGACATACATACAGTAAGAAGAGCATGCTCAATCATAGTTATGCATTATGTGATGCAGAACAACAACAATGAAAACAGTTGTACAGCTAACAGGACAATCCGCAGGTTACACAGTGCAGGATTTAATATATAAAATGAAGAATCAACCACAAATTTGGGGTTGAGGATTAGCTATTTTTATATAACAAGAGAATAAGTAAAGCCTTAGATCTAGAACAAACTGCATGGCATGTGATAAGGCCATGTAAAAGGCCTGAATAGGTGAGGAGCCCATTCTCTCCTATGATGGATCTTGCGCTCAGGAGTAGCCAAATATGTAAAGGGGTGTTAGTACAAGATTTTGCAAATTGACTGGAAAAAACATAGATGGTAATTAAATGTCACAGACTAAAGAAGGGGGATTTTTTTCCTGTGGATTATTCCAAGAGGCATGTATGTGTAGAACATTCTGTTTTTTACAAGAACAAGCGAGTAGTTTCATACTCTTTTCAAAACATTTTCCTCGGTCACGAAAGCATTTTGAAGTGATTCCCGCACTGCTGTGACAGCCCTGTGCTCTGAAATTGCTTTTCACACTAACACAGACGGCCAGTTATGTCCAGTAAACAGCAGCCCAGCATGTAAGGAACTCAGTCAGTACAAAGGGCTGTAGCCACAGGCAATCCTGTATATGCAATGCTTGCACTCAACAAAGGTTTCACTCTCTGTAGAGGGGTTATTTAATCTTTAATAGAAAGAACTGGAGTTGAAAATCCACTTGCATCTCATGCCTGCTCCCTGTCCTTCCACAACCCCTGGGATCTAACAATACCATTGCATTTTTAATAATGTTATTGCAAGCACTGCTCTGGCTCCAAGCATCAATCACAGACTGGCTGCCTTCGCCTAGCGGAGCCTCTGCTCAGAACATGTACTGTATGCACACCCACACCTCTGAGTTGTATCAAGGCTGCAAAGCTGGTGACATTGAAGATCTCCAACCGGCTTGTCCAAAGAGAATTCCAAAATCTTTTTTTTAATGTCTCACTTTCCTCGTTTGTTTTCCGAATCAGAACTTTTAAAAAACAGACAAATGCCCTTGGCCTCAGTTCAAGCTTACCTTGCAGCGAACCTGCTGAAGGAGAATCATTAGCCTGTTTTAACATAATTTAGAATTTAGCATCAGAATGTTAAACAATGGAGGGGAGCAGAGTTTCTCACAACAGGTGAACAAACTGAATAATTAACAGTTATATGCTAGGATTGTTCTCGGTTAATACATTTCATACAAGATAATAAAATAAAAAAAAATAACTACAGGTTTGCGGTATAATTTCTTAATATACAGTCAGGCATTCTCTTGTGTAATTGTTCTGTGTTCTTTATCTGCTGACATTTCAATTACTGTGCAACCTATTCAAGCAAAAAAAAAAAAAGGCTCTTAAAAAGCCTTTATAGAGTAACAAGAAAACAAAATACAGTGTCCCAAAGCATCGCACACAAGTCCATTTCCAGTTTCACAAGACATATAATGTATTTCTGATAAAGGATGAAGGTTACAGTATATACAGTATACGGTATAATTTTCAATTCATGATTTTGTCTTTGTTTTGAACAATGACTAATCCGTCCATCCATTTTCTAAACACCCTATTCAATACAGGGTCGGAGGGCCCTAGAGTGTATTCAGGCAAGCAACGGGCAGAAGGTGGGATACACTCTGGATGGGACACCAGACTATCACACAGCACAGACAGTCACAACCACACTCACAACAGGGCCAGTTCTCCCAGAAGCAAATTAACTTACTTACTAGTCTTTGGAATGTGGGAGGACACTGGAGTACCTAGAGGAAATCCACAAACTCCATGCAGATAGCACCACAGATGCAGAATTGAACTCAGGGCTCCAGCACTGCAAGTCAGCAATGTGAACAAATTGCACCACCGTGCTGCATGCAGACTAATTCTTTGTGCTGAAATGCATCAAATTGTTATGCAATGGTGGTCTTCCCCATCGCTCCCCAAGCTTAGAACAGCCACTGTAAAATGGATGCAAGGGTGGTATTAGCAGAATCAATGATTCTATTTTTATCAACACAAATTATTATTATAGATATATTGATCCGCCCAATATTTTTACCGCCTTTATCGGTTTATTTTGTCCTGAGTAGCAGGTCCTATTAAACAGGGATACGAGATATTGGAAGAAGAGTACCCTCTAGAAACTGAACTTAAACCATTATTGACCTTCAGTGGTAATATTCTGTAAAGTGCACAAGATACACTTTTTTTTTTGGTTTTTGAGACACTTTAATCAATCAAGAGGAAGCACAGTAAACACTTGCAATAGGTCAAAAAATCGTTTAAATACCTTAAGGGCTACATTTCCTGAGCACTAGCACCGCCTTGTGGACACTCATTATACAACGGTAAAGGAAGGAGAAAAGTGTTAAGGGGTACAGTATATACATACAGTATAGTAATGTACATAAAACTACATTTTTACTTGCTTACTTTACAACATAATGCTTGTCGAACACCCCAAAGGATTTAACATGATTTCCTTCATTTTTGTGGGAGCAATGTGTTTTGTCTTCAAAATGATAGGTGCTTTGAGTTTTTAAATGTAAAAATTATTAAGTTGCTCTCTGGAAAGCAAATGTTTAAAAAATTGACTTTACTTTATTTTACTTCTCAGTCATACAAGACCTGCACTAAAAAAATCTATCAAAAGGCCATTTGCATCACATTTTCCTGCAAGGATATTACTATTACTGTTATTATTACAAAAGCCAATCAAGCTCCTCTATACAGTGGTACATTTAGGGGATACCTTTTGTGTGCAATTACCATACCATTTGATTTCCTTTTTGTAAGTAATGGTAATCACCTTTCACACCCCCAAGGTTGTGTGGAACCAACACAGTTTATTTTGTCTTGTGGTGATTGTCAGATCTCCATCTTACTGGCTGTGATGAATTCAGTAACTACCATTATCTTACTGCTGTCTCTCCCTGGTCCCCCACCAATTTAATCATTTCGCTTCACCACTGCTGCATACAAAAGCAGCCTGATCCGTTATTCATCTGCTGAATGTAATCAGCTGACTGTACTGAGCCAAAGTGAGTGTGGTTCGTTAGTCCAGGGTAGGTCACTTAGCCTCATCTGGTGTCCACACTGTTATTGAGTAAATCACTGGGGAATCCACCCCTGGCTAGAACTATAGCTATTCTGCTGCCAATAGCCTGTGCTCTGTAATCTACTTCTCCTGATTGCTCCCCAAGCTTAGATCACCCACTGTAAAATCGATGCAAGAAATGTATTAGCAGAATCAATTATCACATTTTCTATATTTTCTATATTTTGCACCAGTGGGTGTTGTTCTCCTGCGTACATTATGAAGTCCAGGGATTTAAACCACAAAATATTTTCTTTTAACTTTGTGAAATACATTTTCCTTTTTTTTTTAACCTGAGACAATCTGTTCACTTAACAGGAGGCAAAGGACAAAAAAGGCAGTCCCTTAGTAAGTAACTCTAGCTGCTGTTGAAACACAAGCAACATCAACCAGAAACTATAGCTAATTCATCCTTTTGAAGAGCGTAGTGTTTTTTCTTCTAAGCATTAGACCTCCTTAATCATTTATATTACTTGACTGTTCCTGAGGTCAGAGGTTACAAGTCACGGCCTGGTGTATTGATTCAGCTACATAGTCCAGATTTCGACTGTTTAGGGCACTAATGTTCAGGCAGCCATCAGCTGGAAGGTAGACATGCTTTTTCTTTGCCAAGAAGTCTACCTGTTTACCTGCGGAAAAGAAATAAAGCCCATCAGGTAAATGGAAAAATGTACATACTGTATATGTACCAACAGTTTAGGATAATACAACACAAAAATATAAAACCACATGTTTCAGAATGTTAATACGGTGTAGTAGTTGCTATAATGAAAACATTTAATGCACTCTTCATTACACCTGGAATCCTTTGAAAGGAGAACAATGCAATCAGAAGATTTTGTATTTTTAAAGCAGTTATATATCAATCTTTTGAGATAGTACTACATTTGTGCTCAATACTCTACTCATTGAAACAAGTAAATCATTCCAACTCACTTGTTATCTACAAATTCATGTGCCAAGACAATGTTTCCTTCACATTTTCATGTCCAAAGGGTCAAATACAATTACAGTCTCATGTGTTGAGTATGGCTTTGGCTTGTGCTACTGACTGCAAAACACTGTGTTTTCTTGGTATTTTAATATAAACCATTCCTTTCCTGATAAATATGAAGTCATTCCATATCTATGATGCATTTATGAATTCTGATATGACTACTGATAGTCTGTATACTGCAATGTGTGCATCTCCTGGAACATTGATTTGCTGTCACTAACTATCCTGGGGCAAAAATAATTTATTTTAATCACATCTCCTTATACTCTATGTAATAATTTAACAGAAAGTGCTATTTTAAGAAGATATCACTGAAACCATTAATTTTCCATCCTGCTGCCAAGGAGAACTGCAAGACTGTGTAATGACTTTCTTAACACGTACAGTAGCAGCAGACGCTGAATGAAAACTGATAGAAGCTGAAGGCAGACAAAAAAAAGAGGCACAGCAGGATCAAACAGAACCCCCAAAGTGACATGGTCAAGCACAGAAGGAAATGGAACGAGGCAGACAGCAAAAACTTTAAAGAGACCCAGGTAACCACTCACACAGAATGATAAACAGAGACAGACACAGTCATATGGGATAAACAAAAGTCAGATATGCAGTGCCTGCAATAATTTTTCAGAAAGTAACAGTTCATTTCATGTAGTATTACATCTCTCCCCAGCCACAGAGCTACATTAATCATTCAAGAGATAAGTAAAGGTAATGTGTTTTACTCAAGGAATGTCAATTTACATCCCACATCGCGGGATTTTTTGTGAAATAAAGCACAAAAGTAGATGGACATATCCCCCAAATGAGCAGAGCACAGCAAATGTATTGCAAAGTAATCCCTACTGGTAAGAGGTAAAAAGCCTTCAAACAGCGGGTCTAATTACGTTTTCATTCTATCTGGCATGAGCTTTTATAAAATACCTATTTGGTACTTCATAAAAATAATTTCAGCTAGATATAGTATAATGGTAGAATTTAGCAGGGTTTGTGCTGCTTTTTTTAGTTTATTTTTAAAAACTTTTTCTTAATGTGTGGATGCACTGAAATAGACATGTTAATAGGAACAGATAATTGGAATGATTTGATTAAACAAATTGTCACCTCCACAGGCAATATGAGATCAATTCAAAAAGATGGGTATATTCACAGGTATATTCAATGATAGACAGAAGTTGCTTGATGTTCTCTGGAGCATTTTAGAGACTAATAGAGCTTGCTATGTGGTAGCACAGAGACAAAAACAGACATTTCACAGTGCACTTGTGTATAATGGACTACAGACACATATGAACAGGTAAAGGTTTATTTCATGCTGTTCCTTTGCAGCCTATGCATGCTGAAGCGGCTACCTACTTGAACGCCTATAGACACATATGCAGAAATATATAGTATTTCATCAGATCTGCACAAAACAGAGGACAGACATATATGCCACAGAAGGTCAGAAGCCAGAGAAACTGACGGACAGCTCACCAGTCAGCCCAGTGTAACAGTACATCCCAGCCTGCTGTGTCAGGTGATCCCAGCACCCTGGAGTTCCCAGCACCCTCAGTTTCTCTCGCAGCCTCTCCCTAACCAGCATACCTTGCTCCACGATTCTCTTTAAGCCCTCCTGCCTACATACGCACAAGATACAGTATTAATTACAAACAAAAAAACATATTTTATATTGCCTTTCATAAAACATACCACAAAGCACTTTATAATGAACTCTAAATATATATTCATAATAAATACTGTGTACCACCACACATTAAAAACATATATTGGGGAAATAAACAGCATTTACAAATAAGATTTTATACTTAATTTCAAATTGGAGTAAAACCGGAAAGGTCCTGATCAGCCACACAGGAAAGATTTCAAGACAGAAGGGGGTTCTCACACACTGGCTGTCACATTTTAACCCCAAGGAGGGAAATCTTGGTCTTGCTTGGCTGTTCAGGACTTTATTCCTAGGAGTTCTGTATTCTATTTATGGTACCAATTAAGGATGCCATGGGAACTGCCACGTGTGTATGTAATCTAGTGTTTTTCCACCTGCACCCTTAACAACATGTAATATTGTGTGTCCTTATTCAAGATCCTGATCATAAAATAAAAAATGAATCTTACCTGTAATTGTGAGCAAACTGCTAATGTAATGGGTTTACTGTAGTGAAAAAAAGCTTACAGATCAGTAGGAGCACTTGCTCATGCTCTGCTCACCATTCTGCCAGATGGGCGGGGTTATTGAGTACTGTGGTGACCACACGAGCTCCTATTCCAGGTGGGTGGGACCACAGTGTGCGAACCATGTTCTCTGCTTGTGATTGGACGGCCAACAAAGTGGTACTTTCCTTCAGGACGAACAGGAGGCACCCAGTTCGCTCTCCTGAGATCACAGCAGAAAAACAAAGAGCGTGAAATGACAGTGGAAGATAATGCCCACTGAGACTCACCTACTTGCTGTTTTCTTGATGGTTCCAGGTTTTATTCCATGAGGCTTCTCACATATATATCACAGTGATTCACAATACCTTGGCACAATGCTCACAGTGGTTACAGTTTACTAGGGACCCTAAGGAAGCACAACTATCGCTCTAATACTTTTTCTGTCCAATTCAAAATCTGACCAATGATAAACATAACCCAAAGGTTCATGCTTGACAGCACATCAAACATACAACCTCTGATACCTGGGGAGACCTCTGCCTTAACCCTACAATCTACCCTCAACAGTGGAACCCCTTTCTTTTTTTCTTTCTTGTTTGCTTTCTTGCTTTCTTCCATCCATCCAGTGATCCATCAATACAACCCAAAACTTTCAATATACTGATTGGTACATGTGCTGGACACATCACAGAGCAGTGCTGTCCTGTCTTACCATAGAGCCCAAAGTTGTGAGAGAAGGACTGGGCACAGAACAGTTCCTGTCCAAGGGAGACAAAATGACGCAGGGGCCAAGAGTCCTGGGCAGGATCCCCGCTGCACAGCCCCTGAGCTGGCAGTAGAAAGAAGGGGAAGAGCCTGCGCTTCTGTTGGGGCAATCAGAGATGAACAAGACTGTAAGTCAAGGAGTCATATTCTAGAGCTGGAAGAGCTCACTAGAGTTACTACATACTACATCAACACCACACTCACAAAGCTCTTCCTGAACAAACCCTATTTCTCTTCCTCTATGAAACAGGAAGAGAGTCTACTCTGGCTTGTTCCCATGAAATAAAAGAGAGCTTATAATCTTGAACAAACTAAAAATATAAATAATTTACTGCAGTGGAAAAAAAATGTCTATAGTGTTTTTGATATCTGGCAGGAACAGATGTCTAGAAATACAATGTTCTCAAGCACTCTACAATGAAAAATACCCACATAACGAGTTGTGTTATCAGAATGATCCAATCTCTTACTTGTTGAATGTTTAATACTGGATAATAATTACTATTAAAGCCGATGCTTCATCAGACAGCCAGCCACCAGGAGCTCATCTCACCATCATCACTTGAGCAATCAGCTTCCACTGGTCCTGGGAGGGGTCTGTTCCAGTAGGGCAGTGTGCCGAGGCAGAGAGGACAATGACTGCCAGCTCTGGAGCCTTTTCTAGATCTTCCAGGAGCTTCTCCACTGCCAAGTTCTGCTTCTCTGGATCCCAGTAATGGTAATGACGCACATCTGTGATCCCTGCTGCACGGAAGGTGTTAGCCAGGGAATCTGACCACAGACAATCAACAAGGGACCAGTGACTCGACTGGAGCATACGGGAGAAAATTGTCACAAAAGTAATCCTGTTCTACTGCGTTCACGATAACATAGCATATTAAGACGTCTGGTTTTTGATGTGTATGCTTGATATGCAGTGCATTCCACATGTATTGGGAGAATAGGCAGACAGGTGTTTGCTGTTGGTCAAGTGTTTGTTTTTGGATAAATAGGCTCATACAAAAGCAGGGAACATCCCATTAGCTACCTGGCTTTCGTCAGGCCTCTGGGATGACTGTAAATTTGTGAAACTTGTGTATTTTATGTTTATGTTATGTGTAGTTTGGTGTGTGGATTGTCACTGTTAATAAAAACTTGTTTTTACCAAGTGTACCTGAATTATTACTCTTTTCACACAAAGCTGTGGCAGAGAACTAAGAATTAATGTGCCTCTAGCTATAACAACCACTTGGTTGGCAATATTTTCGTAACTCCCCATTTGTAATAGCATACATGGAATTACGGCACTTTAAAAAATGATAGTACTCTTAGTCATTGACAATTTGTACAGTGTGAACATTAATTAATGTAGGTTAGAGGGGTGCTGCCTAAAATCAATTACCAGTTACTTTGTTTTCAAGACATTTAACCTATTAAGTCCTTTAAGTCATCTACATTTCAGTAAAATATTTAGTTTAATCAAATATGGATATATCAGAGGTGTGAAAGTACATAAAATACATGTAGAGTTAAATGAAGATGTAGAATTTTAATATCCATGCGTTATGGAATGAAATAAAATATTCAAATCTCAGATACAGATTGTTTTTAACACTTTCTTATGGAATATACTAAGAGACATTATTATTAGTCCAAGAACTTATAATGCAAGAGGCTATACAGACATACAGACCAGGATTTGAACAGTACAGCAGTTCCAGGTTTTGAACTCTACACCAATTATACAAAGCATTTATAAAATGATTATATCAAGTTTACAAATACTTCAGATACTAGAAACATGGCACCTATTGGGATTCTTAATGCACATTAACCAGACTTTCCTACTGTATCTATTTGGTTCAACTACCCTGCCTAATTGAAAGGCCTCTGCTGACCTTCACAGGGAGAGGAGAGGTAGACTGGCCCACACCAGGCCATGTTCACATTGTACCACTGACGTAGGAGCTCCGCCCCCAGACGAACTGCCCCACTTCTGCCCACTGTCTGTATTGCTCCTGCCTGTAATAGCAACACCATCAGAGAAAATAAAGTTATTAATGCCACACAGAATGACCTGAAAATGTACTATTGACAGTAGATGTTTTTAAGGTGCATCTAATTGTACTTCAGCTCTTCCAGTCCACTTCACGAAGTAACTGTGCACAATACATCTATAAAAACATTTCTATTATAATTATAATTTTTTGCATTCGTATAGCGTTTATCATCATAAAGTGATATTAACATGTGGTGACATGTGGCAGCCATTGTGCGCATGTAGCTTCACTACACAGCAGCTAAGAAGAGAGAAATTACTCCAGCAACTGAAACAAGGACTTATTCTAATGAAGGTAGGCTGTACTGTGTGAGACCAGCATGCAATTTAACTTTAGCCCTAGGAACAATACTCACTATTGTGTAAAATACTACTTGGAAACACTACCAAAAAATCTATAACTTAGGAGTCTGGTTCAGTATTTAATTCAAAGAAGTTTACCAACTGCCTCCTCTTCTTTAATGTAAAACATATCAAAATGCTCCAATAAAACTCATAAGGCAAAGGTGGGCACCGGATCTGAATGGAGTTGAAAGAAGAGAGCAAAGTAATTAAATGAACTGCTAGATACTATCCATCATGGAAGAAGCTTAAAGTCTGACACGGGATGTGTCTCGTCAGTTCATGGTCTCCATAGCCCAAACTACACCACCAGACTTCTACTGAAGAAGCACTTTACCCTTCATATGCAAAGCCGGTAAACAAGTCAGTGTGGCTTTCTCCATGGGTCAGAATTCGTAATCAGTATAGCCAAGAAGAAGCGTGTTCATGATTATAAGGCAGAAGCAATCAGACCACGCAGTCTCACCAAAGTGAAGTTCATCAGGTATTACCCTGTTTTCAATGATGGCTGGACTGTCTTGTCCTAGTGCCAGCTCTGTCGCACTTCTAGTGAATTCTGGGAAACCTGAGATGGGCAGATATCTGGAGGTCAGCGTGGGGTCATCTGCCATCCGCAGCTTGATCTTCCAAATAAAAGGAAACATATAGCACCGTCCATCCTCTGTAAGGTACTCTGAGTTGGAGAATGAGACAGAGGTAGAAGAGATTACATAACAATAGTGATACTTCAACAGTCTTCAAGGAAACCTTTACAACTGGACAATGTGTGGCCATTCCTTACAACTGCTTACCATCTGAATTTGTACACGTTGTCAAACCTTCACATGGTTTCACTCTGATTTTACTGTACTGCTTTATTGTACTGGACCATGAGTAAACAATGGTGTTCTATGGTAAAGGTTCTACAGAAATACCTATTGAGATGAGTTATAGTATCCCCAAGGTGCTGGGCACCCAAGGTAGGAAGAGACCATGCTGAATATGAATAAACACATAAAGTGATTAGAGTATACAGTACCTCCATTGTTTTGCCAGTAGAGTGTGTTTGTGTGCATTTGTAGGTATACAGCATGTACAGTATATGTAATGAAGTCTATCCATCAATTTCCAACAACCACTTACTCCAATACAGCATTGTTGCAAGCCAGGGGGCTAACCCAGGAGAGGATACAACCTAGAAGAGGGACCAGTCCATTGAAGGGGGTCTTATTCATGAGTAGACAAATCTACAAATTCTTAATAACAAATATAAAATAAGACTACAAACTAAAATTATTTAATATATATGCTCTCTATACTGTATATACACGCAAACATCTTTACTTGTACATATACATCTTTAAATACATTACAGTTGAACGCGTGAAGAGCTTTCTAAGCAGTAATAACGGAGAATAATTGGATTTAGCTATTCCAATGTTTATTAGGATTGTTATGAAAAACTCGTTCAATGTCACTTTTTTATTTGGAAAGCTTTGGGTTGAATATAAAAAAAAAACGAAACTACGGCATATCTGCCCCCAACAACGCCGTTACAATTTAAAAGTCATTTGTGCTCACAGTTGTAAATCCATTAAAAACCGAGAAGGAAAAGACGTCTACTCCGAAACTCGATGAAGATTTCAAACTTGTAGTCAGCAGATAACAAAAGCAGAGACATTACACAGTCGATGTAATATATCATCGGCGAATGCTAGAAGTGTCCGTACCTGTATTACTTTTTGGACAGTAAAAGACACTGAAACAATATATTTATCGGTTAATGACTATTTTGCTTGCTTTACTAAAACCTAAATTGACAAATTGAATACTCATAGCATGAGGAGCTTAAAAATAAATATTACATGCAACCACAACCACGTCAAAGGAGTTATCTTGTGTTGGGTCACTCACCTTTCGCACCGAGGTACACCTTATTAAAGTTCTTATCTGTTGTGTACGCCGCCAATAATGTTGTTTTCGGGCTCAGCGGGACAGTGGGGGTTTCTATAAATACGGAAAGAGTCGACATTTCGCCTTTTGTTTCTAAAGTTTATGATTGAACAGTCTCCAAGTGTCCTACTCAGCCGCCACAAGTACAGCACGCCTTCATCTTTATTTCCGGGCTCTCCGCTGTTTCGCCCGGTGCTCCTCAAACACCTGCTTTGTTTACTAGGGGTTGCCAAGATACAGCTACAGCTACAGCTTCAGACTGGAGTTGCGCTGATGGGGAATATTTTGAAACGTCCTGTTGTTCTGGGACTTATCACACTGCAAAAGTGTAACATTGTGCTCCTGTCTTTCGAACAGCAAAGATTTCGGCTTTTATTGGACCACGCTAGAATGTCTTTTAAAAAAAAAAACAGTATGCCATTTTCTTGTGTCGCAAGTGGCATAGTCCATGAAAGTTCATTAAAAACGCAGTTACCTAAGTAAGATCTTACGCACCTAATACGACGAAACACTGTGCTAAATTTTTAATAAATGAAAAATCATTTGCAACATTTACAAATTTTTGGTTTAAGCATTTTGAGGTCAGTCTTCAGGTTTTAGTTTTGTTCAGTTTCCTGTGCTCATTTCTCACAGTCCTGTACTAAAGTCAACATACAGCAGAACATTTCTTTGCTTCCATTCAGAAACTCACCACTGCCATGGCCTCAGAAATAGCTTGGACATGGGTTTGTTGTGTAGGATGACATAAATGTTGCATATTTTCTTACATTAAACATTGTTATAGTACAAATTGAGCCCCAGTGGTTAAAAATCTCAGCTCATTGCTTTGCCCTTTGTGACAGGAAGGGAGGAATACAGGGGTTGCTGTCCATGTCTTCCTCATCTTGCACTGTTGAGCCATCTGCTTCTCTCACCCTCTGTTCCTTACAACACCTCCAGGAGGACTGAAGCAGCTCTCACTGTTAGCACCCCAAGTTTCCTTGCACTCCACATGGGTCATGGCTGAGGACGTAAGATGTAAGACACCCCTGCAGCCCCATACGGTCAGTGTATCCCACCACTTTGGAAATGCAGCCTGTACTCAGTTGCTGGAAGAGCCTCTGACTGGAAACACAGATGGCTGGATTATAGGCTTCAACCACTTTCAAAAACAAACACATTTACTGGTTGGGTCATATGAGTGTTCAAAAATATTTATAATTTCTGGGGTGACTGAACATTAAGTTTGAAGCCCTTCCTCCAGGGACATAAACTCATCTGGTGGGTTGAGCAACAAACCCACCCAGCCTTTATAAAGAAACACAGGCAAAGAGATTCCCTTACCACTGACTGTTTCCTAATTGCAGTTGCTCTTTCTGGTGCCCATTCCTCTCTCCACATTAACCTGCTGGACACCTGAGTCTTGCTGCAGTCATTTGTATTCTCTAACAGCCAAGTTACAGACATTTCCAATTTCTCTACATTTTTTGTAGAGAAACAGATACTGTAACTCTCACAAATAGGCCACACTTTTCCTATCTCTGAATAGTCTACTGTGTTCTCTATATTCAATCATTTAAAAGAAAGTAAATCAAGTTGTCGTAAATCAAGAAGGAAATTTTGGTTTATTAATGTAAGGCACTTTAGTATTTTGATTTCAGTGTAAGAAATGTAAGAATTCTCTTCATATTCTTTTTAACATTTTGAGGTAACCAGGGTTTTGGCACACTCCTTATACCCTATATAGGATTGTTGACATTACTTCTCATGGAGAAATACTTCTTTTCTTAAGGAATACAAACAACTTTCAAAGTCATAAATTTAACACTAACAAATTAAATGGCCACTATATTGCCCATGGTTTCCATCAGTTTTATTTCTTCAGTCATTAAAGAACTATTCTCATGATAAATTGAAGGGAGCCTTTTTATAACCTGCCTTTCTTTCACTCCTTCTTTGGCAGCTCCTGAGATTTACTAGGAAACAGATATGGCAGGACAGTCCTAGCAGGGCCCTGGAGTTTATAAAGCAGGTTTCCTGCTCTCTGAATACTGGTTAAGCTTTAAACCCTCAAGACCGGGGCTTAAAAAGAGTGGAGTTTGAAGGGTTCTTGGCACCACTCCTATTTACTGTAGCACATTTAATTTTACCAGCACTAATCTTAAGTTCTATCCCTTGCCCTAAACCTAACCACTCATTTATATACAAGTACAGAAAAGTGCACACTTGTGGTTCCTGTGTGGATGAGAACTCGAGAACACTTGGTAAGCCATGCTGAGAAAACAAGCATCATTCTTTCTCACTTACATAATTTAACTATCTCAGTGCATCAGTGAGTGGTTTTCTTGCTCCAAAATCTTTTTGTAAGTAAGCATTATCTACAAGAACAGAGGTGAAAAAGACTCTTCAAAGCTGAACAGGAGGGAATGAAAAAGAAGGTATGCTCAGTACTCAGCGTTTCTTTGTTCCTCGAGTGTTCTTTGTTCCTACTTTTATATCAATAAGACAGACAGTTCTTGAAACACAGATCTGGTTTTGCCATCTTTGATACATACTGACAGCTTTCCACGGTTTCCATGGGGTTATCATTCAGAGGTGATGCTCTTTCTTTTTTGAGCATTGGAGATTTCACCGATCTGCTCCAATACCCCAGCAGAGATCTTATTACTTCAGACAGGCAGTGTGGATTTGTACTCGGCAGCCCAACAGTGTGGATACAAAGCACAACAGAGACAACAAATGCAAATAAAAAAAAATTGCTTGTAATTATTATGTAAAAACAATCGAATAATCATATTATTAAGTCTTTTAAGAGTCACCAGGAAAGGGTTGAAGAACAAATTATAATTCTTTTATTTGGAGAGACCTGTGAAGAGAAGACAAACTTTAATGGGTATACGCATATCCTAGTTTCTGGATAAAAAAAACCACTAGAACTGTTGAAGCCGAGGTCACATACAGTATCTGTACACAGCTTCCACATCAAGGGAGTTTTTTTAAACTGGTGGGTATTGAAAGTAAAAGCAACTCTGGATTTCCTATATTTATTTATTAACACAGCCCTAAACTCACCGAGTCATAAGCACAGCTAAGATGGAGACTCTGAAGCCTCTGTCATCCACAAAAAGACATGGTCAGACAAAATTCTTCTGCAGGTCTCAAGCTCCCTCCGTCATTGAAATGGAAGTCCCTGCAAAGTCTAAGCTTGTTTCCAAGTCCTGACTCTTGATCTCTTTTTTTTTTAATTGGTAATTTTTACAAATATCCTCAGTGTCAGCAGACTGAAGTCACTAAATCAATCTGGATTGAATTGTGAGCATTCTTTTTGTTACTCACTTTCCTCACCTTAGCAACTACTGGAACGCAAGGAGTAGAATTTCTCTTCCTCTTCTAAATCCACTGTAAAAGACAAACACGAGAAACAAAAAAAGTAACCATTTTTTGCATCCATAGAAGGACAGGTTAAGGATAATTAACATAAATGTAACCTGTTTTGGTACAAAACACAATGGATTCAGAATTTAAAATTGTACATAAATAGCTCTTAATGAAATAAGTCTAGCAAGAATAATTTTCATGGCCTAATTTCTTGACATTGTTCACGTGTTGCTTTTGTATCACAAGTTTTCAATCTCTCAACCATCTTCAGATACTCACACATGAAGTGCTGACCAGAAATATAGACAGGCCCCTGCCCTGAGCGCAGGTTAAAGGTCACCGGCGGCATTAACTCAAAGCAATAGAAGCTCACCTGCAACAGAGCAGCTTTCGTTCAGACGTGTTATTGGGAGGAGTGAGCGAGGGTGTGGGATGAACAATAGGAACCGGTCCTGCCTAAGGACTCTTCTTGCTTTGCCACGCACTTTTCAAAGGTCTAACCCATGCCATTTATGTTTTACACTAATTCGTTTTGGCCTTTCGGCGACACTGCCCATAAATCAACAACCGCCTCCCTCACTGTCCCAGGAGCGGACGCCGGTCTGTGGCTGACCATGGGCTGGACCGAGGCCCGCAGGGTGGCGATTGGGATGGGGCGGACATCCTGCATGATCCTGGCCTCCACTTCGATAACGTGCAGATCGTCACTGGCGTCCTCACTCAGGCAGATCTAGAATCCAATCAGGAAGACAAGTAACAACCCTTGAAATAAATGAAGCCTTTGTTTTACTAGGTGGAACCTAGTTATTTTTCTCTTTTTATGCCCCTGGGCGGGTTGGCTAATTGTTGATCAATCTTGTTCCACACCATAGCTGATCCTGTCTGATCTTTGACTAAATGCAGATAAAAAAATACCTTTAAGTTTAAAGTTCCTTGTTCCATGGGCGAAGAGTGATTAGTTTTCTAACAAAGACTCGTTTGTAACCTGTATTCATTGCTCAGTTTACCGTGGTGAGCCCTCATAGCCGGATCCCAGTGGTGGACCCTTAGCTCCAGACATACTGTACACTGAAAAGGAACAGTGATGCGGATGATGTGTAAGAAGTGGTCACGTTTAATTGGAAGAACATGAAAAGCCATTGCATTCTCACTGAATGAATTGGCATGTGCATGTAGTGGCACCGTCAGACAGATTTAATAGTATTAGTTCAACACTCTGGAACTGACTTGACCAGTATTGGCCAGGCTCATTTGCCCAGTGTGGAATTCAAACTCCCCACAGCATCCTGCTCCAGAGTAAAATAAGACCGGTAATAAACATGCATCGCTACACACTATGGACATTGTTAATTTTACAACTTTTACAACTCGAGTAGTGAAACCAATTGAAACATGAGAGGAGGCTAATGCTGTTTCTTTGCATTCCTCCCTTCAAACACCTTTTAAACCATCAGGAACCACTTAATTCTGAAGAAACCCACAAGAAATGCCAGGAATTGTTTATTGCGATAATTAATAATTCTAGTTCATTCAGGTTTCCCCTTCACCACTTTGCACAGATTACTGATGTATTTTTCCCCAGTATCAATTAGAAGTTTCCCAATTGCTTATTGATTTATTTGTAGTACAGGCTGAAATTCAAGTTAAATGCTTATAATAACAGCAATGAAATATTAAATACATATTTTTGTGACTGCCCACTGTATATGCTTAATCTTGTCAATAATCTGAAAGCACAGATCAGTTTGTTCAAAACCAGCATATGCGATCTCTAAATGAAATGCATCACTTATAAGGCTGATCCACCTTCAGTCCTTTCAAATACTTAAAAGACGGATCTCTCTGTTTTGTGACCGTTACAAGCCAAGCATTTTCTACAGTTAAGTGTTAAAACACATTGTGCTTGCATTAAGTGATGGTCTGTAATGTGTTCAAAGGAGTGAATATTCAAAAATCTCAATAAAACAGCATTAGGCTCAACTCACAAGCTGCTACTGGAAGAAATCCAGTTTCCGGTTAAGGACTCCTGCCCCAGTGCTGAACAGGTGCAATCACAGCAGATTCTAGGGGGAATAAACAATGCATAATGCTACAGATTAATTCATGTTGTGGGATTCAGAATCAAACCCATTTCCCCAAATGCTAATTAAGGCTTTATTATAGTGTTGCGCCTGCCATTCAAACTGACCGTCTTGATAAAGAGCTGGTTCTCCAGAAGGTCGTCTTCCACTTCAAAATTAAACTTCCTCTGGGTGCCATTCAGCTCACAGCCTGTCCAGAGCATAAAAAGAGGCAGAGGGTGGGTGTAAGAGTGTATATGCAATACCTACGTGTACATTTGGAATATATTTATCACTGTGAAAGTCCCGTAATGGAAAGACACCAGAAAGCTGAAAAAATACTACTAAAGCATGTTGTATTTGGCAGAGAGGCTTTGCTTTTCTAAAATTCACATCAGCAGTAATAGGTTGTGAGTCATCTTCCTACACCTCCTGACATGACGTGCCAGCCCAGAGTGTTATAGAAAAAGGTTGTTTAACAGAGAACAATTTTATGATATACTGTAAGTGACCACGCCAGTAAGCCATTGGCTGTTCCTATTCAATAATAATGATCATATTGCTGGCAATCGTAGGACAATGTCTTAGGCTTTGTAGTACAAGGGCAACCAAAAAACTTTACTGGACATCAACTTAAATCTTCAGTGCGGTATTTTCTAAAAATGTTTATTAAAGTAGAAGTCACTATAACCTAATCTGGTCAGAAGCTGTTAATACAACAGGACAAAAACAGCCAATATCAGAATTATTCCTGGCCCATCCATTTATCCAAAGATCAAAATATTTATGTAGCAGAAAGTCCAAAACACGTGCTTTCTCAACATACTGTTTCCAATGTGTGCATTGCACCAGTCAATTAAACAACATTTTAGCCAGTAAAGGCATTGCAATTATTTTTATGTTTAAAGTTTATATGCAAGTACTTTAATTTAAACAATTACGAGCAGAGATTCAATAAAAAACAGGAAACCTTATGAACGGAAATGAGGAACAGGACTAATGAATGCTACAAAGTCACTGTAAAAACAGCATCTCACAGATCATAGAAATCCGACACTTAAAACAAGAATCATTAATTCCAGATGATGCAAGCCAATTCTTAAAAAACAAAAAAAGGTTTCAGTACGAACTTCAAAACATTTTGCTCATGTACAAAATATTCTCCAGTTTTTTTATTCTCTAAACTTTCCCAGCGCTGGACTTTGATTAATTTTCTTCAGCTAAAATCTACATGAGGAAACAGGATACTTGTTTTATTTCAGTACTGACAGTGCCTTCTGCTGGATTTTCACCTGTAACATGAAACTGTAGCAAACTGCAAGTTTCAACAAAAAACTTTATAATCTACTCATCATTTTAGCCAACTGAGACTGAAATGCAGAGCTGGGGTTCCCCTGAGTAAATCAATGATAGCCAACAAGTTTCACAGTAGAGTAGGCTTTTCATATTTTTTTAACAGCTTAATTGTTAAAGACATTAGTTGAAAAACAGACAGCCGATTACAAGAATGTCTCTGAACCCGTCTGTCACTAGCTTAACACACAAGGATGCTCGGAATTCCAAATTGGCTCATTCTCACAAGCCCTACAGTGTTTCCTGCTTTTGGCTCAGATTTTCAGTTTCTAAATTGGAAAATAAAATCTTTGGTCTGCAATACTGCATATACCATCTTTCAAAGGAACTTCATGGAAGAGTTCAAGAAAGAAAGTTACGAACAGTTGTAGACCTGAAAGTAGGGTTAATCTGATCCAAATAACTCATCTTTTACTGGTCATCAGCTGTCGTTTTCAAGAAATAGAAACCCCCCTTATCCATGACCCTTGAAGACCACAGCTGTCACCACCTACTACATTGAACTGTAGCTTCTAATCCACATACAGCACCCACAAGGAGAAACATCAGGATTTGTGCAATGGCATTTTCTTACCCCACAGCACACAGACTGGTTTACTAAGGGATGAGATGGAAGAGACATCCACAGGATCCATTAGGATTGATGCTGCAGCCTCTTTGCACCACTAAGTGGCCACCAGTTCCGAGCTGAGAATAAGAAGACTGAAACAGCCTGACAAAGTTTAGTAGAGCAGGGAGTCAGCCCACTGTAGTTGCACAGTACCACATTAAAAACCTCTTCAGTACAAGCTTCTCAGAAATGCATGGGAGAATAACTTTTGTGGTGTTAAGGCTGAAAAGAGAAACTCAGATTTGAATGAGACAAAGAGATGGGGAAAAAAATAATTTGAATTTAATGATGGCTTTACTTGCCTGCAGGAGATATTTTGCTTTTTTGTTATCTGGACCACGTACGGTCCTTCATCTTCGCAATAGTCTGAGAAATCTACACAGAGACATAATGTACTGGGATAGTTTGCACAGCAAATCATCATCTATATATCGACAAACCACAAAGATGTACATCTCAAGGCTCTATTCTGGAGTTTAACATTTTAATTCCAAAATAGCTCCGATCAAAACCGCTGTTGATCCTACATGGAGAAGGAACAGTAGCAGGCCTTCCTTGCAACCACATGTCCGACAAAATGTTTTTGATTAACGCTTTTTTCATTTAACTTTGCTGTACTAGAAAAGTTTCCCCTTGAGAGAGACACAGGGGCTCGGTTTGGAAAACTGCAGGAAGAACAGGGTTTTGGCAGTGGGTCAGAAGGCTCTGTGGCATCCAAGTGCTTTTTGGGAGAAAACTAGGGGGCATTGTTCCCACAGCTAATCCAATTACAACCTCCCTCCAGGGTGTGATTGGGAAGGGGAAGTGGTGCATAGAGCCGTTCTTTATTTGCACTGACACTCCATGTGGTTTGAGACTTCATGTAACAATTCATCATCTACAGTGGTCAATAGACTGGCAGTGCCCCCACAACCCCCCTCCAGAATAACACTGGCACACAGACACCGAAAAGGGGCACACATCACTTTCCCATGTATGCTGAAAATCCACTTCTCGGCCACATGCCTAAAAAGATCAATTCTAGGTTAGAATGGCTTTGTATTCATTTGTAAAACAGGGGAACATAAGGCTTAGTTATATTTTTAAGTTTCTTCCCTTGGAAAGACTACGTGAAGGAACACAAAGGTGTTCAAAGGGATCCAAGACAGGTTCAGTGAAAAACATGCAAACTTTGGCCTACATTGCTCTACATGCAAACTCTGGCCAAATGACTAAAAGCAGTTTTGCAGCCCAAAGTGCAGATCACAGGTCCAATGCCCATGTATTTTAAACCTTCAAGATCTAAAGTAAAACAGATTCTTAGAAAAAGGCTGTACGACATTATCATCATGCGTGTCACAAAAAGCAGAATGGGGGCTCGTCCCACATGTTCTCTGGTGCTTAATAGGTCAGGATAAATCCAAAGAAAACAGGTGCAGTGGATTTTCATGCCGGTGTTCTGGTACTTTCTCATGCTGTGAACACACAGCAGGTGACCCAGCAGTCTTATCTATTACTCTATTCAACCAGAGGCATATAAATCATATACATTAATAATCCTATGAATTTTCAATATAGCATTCAATCAAAATTAACCCATAAAGAATTATTTACATGAGTAAATTTATTTACAAGAGTTCCCCTTAATCCTTTCCTATACTCCCATTTTTGCTGCACAAAAACTGCACACAAAAGATCAGCCTTTTCATCTGAGAATGCTAGTTTGCATAATGTTTCACTTTTCGAAGATGCAAGTTGAAAGCCTTACTTTTACCACTAATCCAGAACAAACAGGCAAAGTAATCCACAATTTAAAAGATAAAGCCCTCCATCCTCTGGTCAGAGAAAGCAATTAGTAGATGTCAAAGCTGGCTTACATAATACAATTAACTCATAAAGGTGTTTTTATTATTTTATATACAGTATAACAATAACAAATGCCAATGTACAAAGCCTATATCCAATTGCATGATTTCTGTCAATATATTTCTATGCAATAGTGTGGAGTTGGGAATTACTAAAAGGCCAGTAACTTTTATTCATATTTACAAACTAAGTAATGGTTCCATAATAATATTCAATGTAATATTGAAGCAACAGCAATTTGATTACGGACCTCAAATATTTTAAGACTGAGCCTCTTCTTGTAATGGGATCATGGCCATAGGCTCCAGGTCATACAGTAGGTCCCACAAACAGGTTCTCTTCTATACCATCAATAGGGAATATGCAATGAATAAAACAACATTTAAGCCCATTCACCTGTTAGGTGTAATGAAATTTGTACATTGGGAGTCTTAGTATTAAACTACAGTATGTTCGGTGTCACCCAGCTTCAGCGTTTCTGCTTCATCGTAGGTGCACTTACTCGTGCAGGAATAAAACACAGGACAAAGTGTGTGCAGACCAAAAAGGACGAAGGTTTTTGATGTAATAACTAAAAATAATTTGAAAGTGGCCAGGGTGATTTCACTACACAGCTCGTTCGGCATTTGCAACTACAGTAAGTCTGCAGCTCCGAGCTACTCGAAAATGACAACAGCAACCTAAAAAATAATACAAAAAAAAAGTTTTCCTCAAACGGTAAAAAAAAAAGAAAACAAACAAAAAACACTACCCGTAACCGGGCAATGCACTTGAACTTTAGGGTTTGATGTAAACTCGTGATGCAGACACTTTTACCGTTCATCGAAATGGTTCCCTACCCACTCTTGGTATTAATGTCATTTGGGATTATGGCTACATGCTTCCCAATGACACAAAAAAGAAAAAAAACAGAAGTCGTAAGAATTGTTGTTGGACACCACGAAGAAAAAAAAAACTCACACGTGACGTCTGCGCTGCAACCTGGAATCGCGAACTAACAAGCAAATCGAATCCAACTTACCTACAAAGTGCGGCGAGAACAGGGTTGACTACACATGCTAGTGTTATACTGAGAGTGGCCATTAATTAGTAATTGCCAAGCTAGTGTTATACAGAGAGTGGCCATTAATTACGTGATTCATCAGGTGAGCTGACGAGGAGGTTTCGTTGCGCGTGGTTTCCCCCCACTCAGATGTTTTGGTGAATGGAGTCTGTCCCCATGATCCGTTGTTAACATGTCTTAGACCAGTCGTCGTTTAATTTTAACACAGAAGATACCCCTACAGTATGTTTTCAGAATTGATAACAAATGTTTCTTCCAGTTATTTAACTAAATTAATTTGTAAAATCATATTGGACATTTTAAAGACGTTGACCTTTTCTCCACACAAGATGGCAGTACAATCCATCTCTTTTGCTTTTCGTTTTCTTCTATTTTTTTAGTCAGACGATTACTTCTCTTAATTCTTATTTTTGTATTATTGTCCTGATTTGCATATTCTGTTAAAATTTTAAGAATGAATAAATCATGTTTAATCCGATTCATTGGGCCAAACATTGAAAGATCGTTATTTTTTCCCTGCATAATGGGCATACAGCATAACATTTTTAATTTCTTGCCAATATTGAGTACTGCTTCCCCTGTTCTCTAGCATTTTGACTTTATAATTGAAACCAAAAAACATCCAGGCCATCTGTTTTTTCTCATGCTCTGTCATGATTCTTCATGGGAAAAAAAATCCTAACATTTGTATTTTTGGTGGTTTCCCCTGACACTGAACTTCAAAAACGCAGATCTACATCTACAGATTTATCTCCTATAATATAATATTTTGTGGTATAGAAATGAATTAGAGACCAACAAGGTGCTGAAGACCACTTGAAGGGGCCTTGTCCGTGTTATTGACATTGTAAAAACCTACTTTTAGTACACACTTTATTATGAGGAGTGTTGAGTTTGTTCTACACATGAGAATATAAAATAACATAACATAAGACAAAACCGGGGAAAAAAACAAGCTTTCTTGTGCATTAATTCCAGTTGTTTCCCAAAGAATCCAAAGTTGGCTTAGAAGAGGAAGTTGGCTTAGAAGGGGATCCTAATTTCAGTCTTAAATATTCTTAGTTTGTAATATCATTATTGTCATTGCTGCTTTTTACATACTGTAGTACTTGGGTTGACTTTGTACCTTCAGGGAGTTTTGAATATTTGGCATCGATTTCTTTGAACCAGGAATAATTCTGGTAACTATTCTATGAACTGCTTTGTGGTGACCAAAACTCAACATTTGCATTACGGTGTTGTAAAGTAGGTGTTAGCCTTACATTTTACAGTCTTAATAATCATTTTAACCTCTAAGTAATTGCTATACTCAAACAAAATCTGTTAGTCTTCTTTGAACATCATTCATAATACTCCTTTAAGTCTGTTTTAACCAGGGCTGTGCGGTGGCTCTGTGCCAAAGGATCTGTGGCTGAAAGCTTGCTGGTTCGTATCCTGCGGTCAAAAGAGGAATCCTACTCTGTTGGGCCCCTGAGCAAGGCCCTTAACCCCGACTGCTCCAGGGGTGCCGTATAAATGGCTGACCCTGCGCTCTGACCCCCAGCTTCTCTCCCGTCTGTGTGTCTCGTGGAGAGCAAGTTGGGGTCTGTGAAAAGACAACTTCCTAATACAAGGAATTGTATATGGCCAATAAAGTGATCTGTAAAATGTCCTTTCACCTCCTATTTCTTCACACCCAGTCTTGGAGAATTTGTTTTTCAGATGCAGTTTTTCTGGCATGGTTATCTTCTGTGGGAAAGAGCTCAGAGCAGAGGCAACAATTGTGAATTGCTATTAACCCTCACAGTAGGATATAGCATGGCTGGGAGTTGTAACAAGAAGAGATGCCTTTTGATATTAATGGCTCCTTTACTGGTGAGCTAGAAAATATTCGGGCTTTTTTCTGCTGTCAGGCACCGTTATCTCACTGATGGGTGCTCATATGCTTGCTATGCCTGGCACTACACCTAGAGAAAGACACAATCTGACCTCTGAAATATCAAGTCCAGTTTTGCTTAGGGCTGTAATGTGTGTCTTTTCACACCTCACCTGTCTTCAGTCCTGCTGAGTGGTTGCGAATACTTACTGTAAGTAGTACACACAGTGCAGTCATCCAGATATCATGACAGGGGTAGTATCATGGCCAGCCTTCTGCATTCCTGAGGGACAGAAACTTGTCCCTTATCAATGTGCTCGATGGTGTTTTTGTTTCTCTGTCTCAAGAAGCAGCCAGGTTAGGAGAGTGTTACGGCACGACTTTGAAGGGGACGACCCAGACTGAGTCATTTTACTGAGCTCTTTCATAGGCCGTGCCATGGCTGGGGTTTGTCTCTGCCTGTCCCTTTGCAGTAGCAGTCTGTATGTGTTCTGGGTGTTTGATTGTTTAAAATGGCCACAGTTCCGGTTTGCTTTAAAAGCAAAGATCCTCAGAATTAAGGTAAGGTGATTGTAGAGGGGACAAATAGCCTCTCTGACTGCCTAGAAATTGATTATCAGGAGTTTGCACCACAAGGGCTCCTGTGGAATTCGTCAGATGAACACTTATCTCAAGTGTTATCTCAAAGTTCTGGCCAAATTTCCCATTGGCCTAAACCAATCATGGCCTCCTAATAATCCCCATCTCTGAACTGGCTTCAATTTTGAGCAGCACTGATTAAAATTAATAAGCAACTCTTATTATCAGTGGGCACAGTCTTCTGTGCAGTCCTGATTTGTCTGAGTGATCACATGGACAAAACACCACAGCTGGGTTTAAAATTGTCCAGAAGAATACAGGAGATGACTGACTACTTTGGTACCATTCTAACATGTGTGACAGTAATGGATATATACATTATACCTTAGATTTTAGGACTACATTCTAAATATCTCTTTTCTATCTACAGAGCAAATACGAGACACTGGCCTACAAATCTGCATCCACAGATGTACAGAAGGGTCTGCTTGTATCAAAGAAGAGATGAGTGGTAGCTCAATCACTCAATTTATGTTGAGACTAATTGGAGATATAATTGTGTAGGTAAAAGTATATGTGTAGCACACACTCATTGCTGGGCTCTTAGCTTCCTGCAGTCAGGTAAAACACACATTTCCATAATGAGGAGTATGAACACTGTAGCAGGGGTTGCAAATGATATTCCGAATATTTCAAACACTTGCTGTGAAGCTGTAAAAACTGCAAAAATGTGAAACGTTGCAGTGAGTTGTCTGATTCACACACAAGATGGCACTATTGAAGAGTCAGAAAATGAAACAATTTAAAATGCCTTGAAATCATTACACCATAATAAACTGTGTCCTTTTTCTGTCCATAGGTACCGAATTGTAAACATTAACACATTAGGGTTTTGTCTGTTTCACAAAGAGCAGAACAGCCTTCTGTACAATACATAAAAATAAATTCATTTTGCAATCAGAACAGTAGAATTTCCGTTCTTCTGAATGGTGTAAACTGGTATGATACTATCCAGTCTTTTAAGCATACCATCAGAAAAATAATTTCTGAGCTGTTGCATTCAGAATCATAGTTTGTTTTTAGGCAGTGTTAGTATCTCCAGAATGTCATGTTATTAGCAACTTGTGATGGTTTCAGACCGGGTAAATCTGCTGTCAAATACAGTCCTATAAGATAAGGGTAAACATATCAGTGAATATTTAAAAATGTGTTCAATGTCTACTGTGTATGTTCAAAGTAATATTTGTGCTGTAGTGTCTTACCCAGCGTGCACTTGTTTTCGACAGATTTGTTTTTGTTTTATCCGATAATGATACTCTTCCATTTTTTCAGGTTTTAGTTTATTCATGCAGAAAATACTGAACCGAATTTACATTCAGTTTTGATTAAATCTGACTTTCAGTAGGCTTGTGTCATAGGTATGAATAAAGTTGAAGCCGGTAGCAGGTACTGATAAGTTATTCCAAGCTTATGAGCTGGAAACAGTGATGAATCTGTCTCATTGAGGAAATAATTACTTCAATTACATTACCAAGTGTTAAGGTAGGAAAAAAACACTAAAAACACTGCACTGGATTTATACACCCCAGGACCAAGCTAACAGTGTTTCTCTATTTAAACAAGAACTTTATGTGCTGGTCTTGGAGAACTCGGGGGGGGGGGTTCTTATTTTCCATTTAGTACAAACTGCCCATTCCAAGTACTGGAAATTAAGTCAATTGGCCCTTTGCCCACAAGAAAAAGTCAGACCCAGTGTGTTTCGATGATTTGTCTACAGTTAAATCTAAACTAATGTCTCTGAAGCGGTTCAGAATCTTGTTCTTTTATTGTCGCAACTGAGCATTCAGTACATTCTTGTTGAGTAACATATGTGCTTCCCCCCAAAAAAGGTTCTCTAGTGTACTCTGAATGTTGTGATGCATAATAATAGAATAATGAGATTTCCACCCTTCCTTCCTTGATTTCTAACAAAACCACCCTCAAAGGAATGGATATAGATGAATCTGCATGAAACAAGAGACTCTGTTGAGCTTGACTCACTCTTTTGGAGCCCAGGCTGAGCCCTATTGTCCAGGCATTGCTGCTTCAAGTTTGGACTTTGACATGAGTTGGCTGTAATGTTTATTTCCAAGTGACCAGTCACTGTTAAGGCTCAAATTGGATTGAGCTATCCAAGGGTGTTTTGGGCTTGCTGTCTGACACTGATCCCTGTGGTCGTGCACTGCTGTGTTTGAAGGCTGCATCACTTTATACAGAGCATGTTGTTCTGGAGGTACCATAGGATGCACAGTGCGATAACAAAGGCAATTGTCCAAGAGTGCTGCTTTCAGAGGCTGGTTACACATCAGGATCAGCTCTGTCAAGCTTGAATGAGTTTGACAGAAAAAAACCCACAGATCTGGTATCTTTTAAATACCACCAACTCTTTTACCAGCATGAAACTTTGTGAAGGACAGAGCAGATGGCTACAGGTGGACATGGAAAAAGAGGTGAGGTGACAGAAAGCATTCATTACACAGAGAAACAATTCTATAGTCATTGTGATCCTAATTACAGGTGCACAAAGATAATTTAACGGCTCTAAATAGCGATCTATTATGGATAAAAAACGCGATCAGAGAGCACGAGGCAATGAGTTGAAATGGCTTCTGCAGTATTGGTTACCCAGCCAGTCTTTGAGGAAGTTGCATTGTATTCTGAATTCAATATCTCTTTGATTACTATCCAGCTTTCGTTAATTCGGGCAGTCACAGAGCCCATGCAGCAGGGAACAGAATGAGTTTTTCCCTCATTTGATCGAGCTTCAGTCAGATATCCATGGCTTTATACATCCCCGAGTTCATAAAAAATCACTATAGTGTCACCTTTGTCTTTCAGCAGCTACCCTTTCCTCTCTCTGTGTGCCGTTCTGCAATTTGACATCTAGTCAGGTTGCCTCTGTTCCGCCTGCGTGTTTTCTATGGGTTAGAGCTTTGCTCCTACCCCTGTGTCAGATGGCAGACCTGGCCATCGAGCTGTTGGCAGCCTGCAGTGGTGGAGTTACAGTATTTGTGAAAGCAAGCGCCCCAGCCCCAGTCTCCACCACACCTTCCACGCAAACCTGCCGGGACACGTAAGTAAGTCGAAGTGGTCCATGTAATAGTTGATATGACAAGTATTATATTCACTTTCAATATAGAAAAAACAGGGCATTCATTCAGCATCCTCAAATGACTTTAAGAAAGAAGGATTTCCACTTATTTCAGGACACACCTAATGGGGGTGAGGGGGGTCCCCCAGCCACTCAGACTTGGTTATCCTCCCTCCATCATAGCCTTATGGATGGAAGTACAAATCTTAACCATAGCGCAGTGTGTATCCATTCACCTTTACTCCTCAGAGCTCATGGTCATGGTCAAGGAATGCTATGACTCCCATGTCAGCCTTTTCTTTATATTGCAACTGACATGTAATAGGAATTTGAGCAGTCTGGTACGTGTTTTCGATTGTTTTGAGCAATTGCTAGTTGTTTTTGCCCAAACCTAGCCCCTTTAAGGGCAATGTTCAATGTTATTAAGTTTACTGATTCACGCACACATTGCCTTACAAAGACAACATATATGGAAGATTACGAATCACCACATTAAAAAATACTTGAGAATTAACTTCAGAGGCAGGTTTTGGAAGAGCTGGTTACATTTTGCAGTTCTTTCCTAAATTACCACCTATTTAGAGAGATTTATATAACCATTTTAAATTGTGCTGTTCTTTTCTGTCTGTCAGACTCACCTTTGTCTTGCAAGTCTGGAGGAAAAGGTTGCACATGCCCTTATAATAAGAATAGTTAGAGCTGATGAACTCGGCATTATTTCATTATTTTTGACATGTTGTGCTTGGTGTCCTCTTGAAATAGCTATGGGTAATTTTCAGCAATTTTTTCTGAAGGTATTTTCAAGTCCATCCTGCCTGGTTTTCCCAGTTTTCAAGGAACCTTTGTAAAGGCTTCATCAATCTTTTTAAAAAGAAAGATGAATGTTTCTTTTGTGCATGGTGAAAATTCATACTGTGCATTTTTACCTTTGTGATTCATTTGGATCAACTTCACTAGACCAAGAGACATGATATTTATTATCTCACAGTTTGTTGTTTTCTTAAGGCGTTTATATTTATTTAAATTAAGATTCAAACTTGTAAATTTGGTTTTATGCCCTATGGATCACAGTGTGACATCCACCTGACAAAACATTTATCAGATGCATGTAGGAGTTAATAATGTATGGTCATCATTACCTTTTGCTAGATTTCCAATTGGTCTTTTAGATCATAGTTCACTTTCAATACCCAGAACTCTTAATAGTTTCATGAGTTCTTCTGATTTACAAGTGGCTAAAAGGGTTTTTTATCTGCCTTTTTGTTAATACGTGCAATTGATTAAGCACCACTGTACAGAATAATCGCTAATGTTTGTACAATATAATCGTTACCGTATAACTACTTGTCTCTGGTCAGTGTCCCGAGTGGCGCAGACCTACAGCTGCACTGTCCTGTTTTTACACATTACAAGACAAAACTAGAGCTGGTATTCTTTTCCTGAAGTGGGCCTTGCAAAGTTTTATACAGCCTCAGTCATACTGAGAAAAATGTTGAATAAGAACAGAATTCATACATCCTCATCCAGCAAAGGGTGGTTTTGCACTTTACAATTATTGCTAGTAATACTTGCTATCAAACATGCCAATATACAGTACAGTATGTGAGCAGCTTATTTCTGTGAGGCCATATTGTTTGTGATTTCTAAGGGCTATTTAAATAGGGAAAGAGGAAGGCTTTTTGCGGGCTTTTGACATTGATTCAAGTAGAATCATAGATGAGGGTTATACTGGTTCCAGTAAGTACATCATGAGTATTAGAGATCCCTGAACCCTCTCCGTAATACCACAACACTATCTTACAATAGGCAGTTAGCCTCCCAGTAGTTATCTCTCGCAGTCATTCAGCCCCCGGTAACCCCCTCCCATCAGATACTCAACATCTGGGTCTACAAAAAGATGGTGAAAAAGAAAATAGTATTTTTTCAGTGTTTATTATGTTTCTTTGTATATTTATATATTTTATACTCCATTTTAAATAAACTTTTTTTCCACTTATATACAAGATGAGGCATTTACAAAACACTATGTACACTGTTTAAGAGAGAGATCTCTGGCTCGGGTGGGATCTGTTGTCAATTATGGATTTGGAAAGGGATGTGTATTGGGAATGCCTGCAAACTATGCAGAACTATCAGGGGAGGGCTTGGCATTTGTACACATTTGTACGGCTAATTATCTTTCCACAGCTTTGGTTTCCATTTCTGTGCTTCTTGTATGCATGTGCTTTACTTTTTGTGTGGTTCAGAGCACTTTCTGTCTGGTCTTTCCGTGAACTCGTGTTAATAATGTTATCACAGATCTTTTCCACTTGGGTTTGCGTTCCGAGCAGCACTGTGATGTGTGATTTGCATGTTCTGCTTAAAAAACAGCCATAGCAGGTTACAGTTGACAGCCATCTCTACCTCTTTTTCTGTTAGTTAAGAGGGTGTGCAGAAAGTCAGACCCAAACTAGTCTGTTGGAAGAACATTTCCACTTCTGTCCTCTTCCGTGTTCTTCGACATCATGACAGAATGTTTTCGTGTACCTTTCCTGTTTCCTGTCAGTTGTCTCTTATTTTCATGCTGCTTAATCGTTGAACGTCTGTGAAGGTGAAACATTCGTTTTACACAACTCAGGCAAAGACACTGGAGGAGCGGTTTGTCCATCCAGATGAAAGCTTTTTACTGCCGTCAAATCAACGGTAGGCTTCCTAGGGAGAGTTTGTGGGGGGGACTGTGTGTCCCACTGATGTCTGGGAATTGTGTGTGTTGTGATGTGAAAAAGCTGTGGAAAACAGTCAGCTCAGAGTTCTGTTAAAGCACTCTGACTGGACTGAACTCCATAAGATAAAGCCTCTTTCTTCCAGGAGACTCCAGGAAGGAAGAGGTACTGTACGTACAGTACAAGCTGGAACATTTCTGTTCTGTTTGTGCAGTCCCACCAGCAGGACTGGTTGAAGGGAGGAGTGGGACCCAGGCCACTCTGCTCATGGACAAGTAATGAGAGGGCGAGCCCATCTAGCCAGTCAAACCTTACTCGCACGAGTACAAGAGGTTGGAGGAAGCCAGAGCACCTGGTGAAAGCCCACCTGAATCTGTGGAAATCCTACAGATGTGTAACAGACAGGTCCCGAAGGACAGAAACAGACCCAAGAGCTGTGATGTTCGGTGCTAAACACCACACCTTCCACAATACCCATTTTACATGACCCAGTGACCCTCTGTGCTTGATTTAAACATGTGGTCGTGAGAAGTTCTTAAGGGGTCCCTAGAAGGATTTTGTTTCCGAGACCACTGACTTTGTTTTATTTTCTCGAGTGTACCAGTATTGTCTTCGTTTTGATGACATGTAACAAACTGGAAAAGTCAAGTGTAAGAGGGTGTATAGCTACTGTTTCTGAGGGCATGGCACAGCTGCCTTGAGGAATTTGGATGAATGGCTAACTGCATTTACACTATGTTCTACAGAACAGAGAAACCAGACAGAATACTGAGTCAGAACAGAAATAGGAACCAAGTGCAATCGAGAGCATGACTTCTAAACCTAAGATAGTCTCTTGCGTGTTTGATAGCAAATAAATTGACAGTTGGTCATATCAATGTAAATTCCCTCAAAGTTTCAGTTTTAAACACCAGGGATCTTTCGTACAGTTTTTTGTTTTTTATATTACATACAACTCAGTAAAATGCTGTATCACTCTCCCTACACATCAGTTAACATTGTATAAAAATAAACATTTATATATCATTATGACACATCGGCATACGATATAGTATCAATAATAATAAAACAAGTGACATAACTGAAATAAATTAGGCATCATCTAAGAAAAGACAATAGTGAATGAAAGAAAATTCACAACCCAAAGATAAAGTGTCATCTGGGTGCCCGTGTGCGAAACAGCTGCTGCTCAACACTGCCACCTGTTGGCAGGCTGCAGCCTTTGTGGTGTAATCTAATTAAAACTTGTGCGCTAGTAACTTGCGATTTTTTTCTTTCACAGTTTATTCTTTTCTGAAGTTTAGCATTTGAAGCATTATGGGTGTCTTCTGAAGATCAAGCGCTCCTGAATAATATTTTCCACAATTCTGAATGCATGACTGTATTATTATATTCGTGTTCCATTTGTTTGATAAGAAAGCTCTTTCTGGAAACTGTTTCCCCACATTTCCTTACAGATGGTAATCACATTGCCAACACAACTGAAACACTCTTTACCTACAGCTTCAGAATGGGCTGTTTTTGCCAGGCAACAGATAAGACTTCCATTACACAGAAGTTTGATCTATTTCAGATCTTGGGAGGCTAATGCTTATATCATCTGACACGAGATGATGTATGTTTCAAACCTGCTACCTTACTGTGAGTAGATTTGCACAGGCAGACATGTGAAGGTAAAACAGTATAAAATATTAAGCTTTTCCCCTCCATCATTATCATTTGTGAAAGAGTCTGCACTTTGCAATATCCAAAACAGATCCACCTGCTATGAAACAGGAATTTTGTGTGTTTCTCTGGGCTGTGTGGCAAAGCGTGGATCCATGTTTGTCATCAGACTTGGCTGAAATCCTTAAGAGAGACCAACTGGATTCAAACCTGCTATCTCTGGGCTCTCTTGGGCTCTGTGCCCTGGTCAGTTTTATAAAAGATGTACAGTACCACTCTGGAACATGTAGGTACTGCTGTAGTCTGAAGTACAGTGGCATGCATTATGTGGAAAAACAAAGTTGAACAATTAAAGAACAATAGAATAAGGCTGATTAAAGCAAAGCTTTTGCAGTGATCATTGGTTTGTGCCAATTTAAAATTGCAAATCTTGTTCAGAATTATTTTAAATAGCTGCTTAATGCACCTATCTCAAGTGCGTCATGACTTACGACTCGAGTGATAACGCACAGAGCTCTTCCACATCTCCTTTCCTCCGACTTGCTTTTCTGTTTTGAAAAAAAGGCTCAGAACTGCCTTATAGTTCAGTGCCTTTGAGTGAGAAGCTGCCACATGCTTACAATTTATGTGCCGATGTGAGACGAAGATGCATAACGATATTTCTTAAGTCCATTTTGTGTAGCTTGGTAAACCAGTTATGAAGATACGTGGAGGATTCCTGAAGGTACTGCCCAGTAGTAATGGTTTCTGCTTGTAATACAGTTAGATTTAGATTTTATCTTAGAGGAAGGTGGTTTGGCTGTAAGAGGTAGCAAAAACTCAATAAATCTGTGAAAGCTGGCACATTCTTGCTGCAGTTACTGTCTGTTTTTTTCTAACGCTCAGGATAGCTGCAAACAAATTCACATCTGCAGATTTTCAAGTCCCATGCACTGATGATCAGGTTGCTACACCATCACTCAGTCACCACTTTACTTTGTGTGGTTGGAGGGGAATTCCTCTGTGACTTCTGTAATAAAATCGGGTTCTAAAGAGGGAAACCGAGCGTAGAACAAGACTGCAAGCTGAATTAATGCCGTGAGGCATAGAGAGGATGGGTGAACCGAATGTGAAGTTCAAAAATTAAATGGGAAAATCAACAAAATCAAATGGCATTCTGAATGCAGTAATTGACTGTATGTCTAACAGAAACTAGAATTGTGCCTGAATGCTGAAATGCTGTTTTTTTTTCACATTACACGACTACTGTGTGTCCTTCGATAGGACAAAAGTGTAAAGAGTTAATATTACATTTTATATGCTTGTAAATGTACATGGTGCTGGAGATTAGGTGCAGTGCTGGGTGTGTGTCACAGGTTGTTAGATCAAGTTCAAGTCTGTGCACTTGGTAGATGTGGACAGCATACCATAGCTGTAAGCAAAGTCCTATTCATTCAGTGGAGCCTCCTACCGAACATCTTAAGAGCTAGGGCATTCACAGAGTGCTTTCGAATGCTTCAAGCTCCTCTCTGTCTCTAGCTGCAAAAGGGCACAGTCATGGCCAAGTACATTAGCAGGAGAGAGCTTTCCTTCTTACTGTCGCACAATAAACTGGGCTGGTTGTCCAGTTTCACCCACAAAAAACTGGGGGCAACTTCTTTTCTTCAGATATGGCCATGACAGTCTCTCCACCATCTGATCAGTCCATAGCGTTGTTTGTAGTGATGGTCTAGGTAGCCCGGCCAGCCAGTCACAGCAAAGCCCATTCCTCATTTTCTGGAGATCTGTCAGTTCTTTCTCAGCTGTCTTTTTCCTGTAAGAAGAAGCTGAAAACACAGGAATGCAGTTAGGAGCTTGCATCTGGGACAGTCACTCATTACTCATTTAGTCAGATTTAGTATGAAGAGAAACTTCACTTTTACTGTAGTTTCCACTTGTGAATCTACAGTATGTCACTGACACACTGAACAGCTGCTCTAAAGTCACTTTTGTACAGTTAGAAAATGGGCATTTTGTACAGTATTTACTGTTGAGTCCCATGCTGAAATACTCTGGGGTCATGAGAAAATTATCCTCATAACAAACTGCAACCTGTGGTGAACAAAATGTATTGTGACACCATGTATTGAAAATGAGGAAGTGAGCACAAATCCAAGAGATAACTAAATTCAATGAATCAAGATAAAAATGTTGTTCTGAAGATTACACGAGGATTATCTGAGTGAGATATGTTTTCGTCACCATGCTCCCCATTGATACCTTAATGACAATGGTGTAAATGAAGTCTGTTTCAGTAAGGGTCTGACAGAGTTTGGAAGTGAAAGGTGTCAAGTATACAGTTGAAAGACATTACAACATGTTTGTATGGGTGTTTCCATAATATCGGAAATTCTTCCACTCAAATCCACAGCCACATGCACGTAGCTAGGAAGGCTATCATTCAGCCCACTATCCTTAAAAGGAGAGAACATGTATTTTCCTGTTATTTTGTTTTGATCTAGCAGCCTGTCAATTAAACGTGTCCTGTGTTCTCCTCTGTTGCTTTGTTTGCTTTAAATGTGATTTGTGATGTGAGATAACTATTCCACCAAAAACAATTTCTCAAAGTTAATGGTGGGAGGTATTTACAGGAGAACAATCGGTGTTGTATTGTGCTTGGTGGTCCATTCTTACAGCACTGTGGTGCAATCCTGATATAATCACCGAGAAGCAATTTCTGGAAGCAGATTCAGAGAGAGAAGACAAGTATACTCTTAGAAGTAGACTTCAGAAGCAGCTATTAACTCATTCTTCTGAGCAGCAGAGGAAACAAAAAGGTGTCTAGTTAAGGTTGAAGCAGTCATTGTGCCTGATTTCATCAAAGCCATTCACACAATTCAGTCTGGGACACATGCATAGCATACCATGCAGAGTAACAACCATTGTACAAGACAGAACCAATTCAAATGTCACATAGTTTAGGGTGAAGGTGAAGCTTCTAACCTAAGAGGCTAAAAAAGCCTCTCTCCCACTCTACCTCTCCCTCTTTCTCTTCAAATGCCTTGGATACCGATGGTATCTCTGATACTGTTCAAGTCTCCACAGGAAAAGGTAAACAACATGGACGGTTTATTCGCTCTCAGAAAAAAGGAAAAAACAAAATGTACAGTGCAGAGATCCGCTGCCTAAGCCTTTTTAGGAACTGCTTTCAATTCCTAATGGAGTGCTGATTAGTGCATCAGAGAACACTGCACAGAAGAAATGGGCTCTGGGTTGCAGTTCTTATTCATAATCTACAGGGAGGTCAATAAGAACATTAATTGATTGAAAATGAAGCATTTGAATTTTGTTTGCTGATGTAGTTGCCCACAAAGCTTTGAAAAATGCTTTAAGTTTGAAAACGTAAAAAGGTTTTGGAACTATAAGAGTGTGTGTAAAATGTATTGTACTTTCACATGCAGCTCTGGGTATTCTATGTAAAGTCATATTCATGCAGGGCAGATGTGTAAGATCTTTTGATCCCTTTTAAGAACACTTTCTTATCAGATCCCCCAGTGCCAGAATGAACTAATGTCTGTAAACAATCTCCTGGGTGCCACTGTGTGTTTTTCATTTGATCCTGTAATATTTTTCTTCTTCCTCTTCGAACCTCTAAAATATTTACCAAAGAGAGAAGTGGAACAGATAATGCTGGGATGAATACTGGGTCATTTTGTAAGTAAAGATTAACTCAGACACAGTAGACTTCTGGGAAAAAGGCCATCTTTAGGTTAGTTGGTCTTACAATGGCTTAAGGTACTACAGTATATACAGTATGAGCAGGAGAGCTGTAGAACAACTACAAATTATTATCTTGCTTATTTTTCTATATACAGTACCATGTGGTTTACAGGAATCTGAGTTTTTATCACCAGTCTTCCAATTTTTGTTTAGTGGAGCTACTGTACCTGGCTATGGAGAATTGGCTGAAAAAAAGATGGGTATTGACACCAAGACAATATGTTTAGTATTTCTGGTAGCTGTGAGAGCTTTTCAGACACATAACAATTCTATGGAGAATTTCAGTAAGATTAGAAAGTCTCTGCACAGTAATTGAGTGTTTGTAATATTCTAGATTTTACGATGGGGTTAAGTTTGCTTGTGCAATGTTTTCCAAAGTGTGACATAAATATCTTTTGAACCTTTCCAGTATACCTCAGAGGGGTTCCACAGTTACAAAGAGAAACAGAACAGATGCAAGAACAGAGAACAATGCAAAACATAAGAGAACCAGGAATAAAGAGTTATTTTGGATAAACTTTTTCACACATGGTAGTACAAGCATATGGAATAGGTTATAAGAGAGGGCCAAACCATCAAAACAATGCCTTGTGACAGTTTGCAAGAGACCTGGACGTGTTTCCAGAACATGCAGGGGCTGAAGAAAACTGAGGAGGTGGAAAGTTTTATTCTTTTAGCCTCAGTTCTGGAGAGCAAGATGTGAACACTGCACTGTGGACAGAACTGACCCGACACACATTGCAAAAGACAAATCTTTAGTCATGTCCTGGATTCTCTTGCCTCTGTACAGTATTCCTTGGCAAAAGATGAAGTGTTTTAAACCATGATTGCAGTATGATCACCAAGCACGTTTTGGCCCTTTTTGATGTACTTCCATGTTTGGATCATAACTTTTTTGGCACTACCACCAGAGTATGTTTGAGTGAGAAAGAACGTACCGTTATTACATAACCTGAAAGACTGATTATGAATTGACTGTGAATACTTCAATGTAATCTGATCCAAACTTGGACTGAGGTTTATGAACAAAATTAAAATAAAGTGGTAAAAAAAACCTTGATTTAAGTCTTTTCACATGCATAATAACGAGAAAAATGTGCTCAGTGTCTCGGTTCACAGAAAATTTCGATATACCTTGAAATGCTTTAGACTCTATGCAGTCCATATTTGCATTTAAGACAAAATTCCATGTTTTTAATTAGTGGAGGTAATTTTTAATTATATAGAGACCTTATACTGTACAACTATAGGTCAGCTCCATGAATAAAGCTATTTTGCTCTCTGTGGTATGAAATTAATACTTAAAACCTGACAATTTATTCTTTCTAGAACTTTCTAGAGCCACCACTACAACTTGTTAAGTTGTTGGCATTATTTCATTTACATGTCACACAGCATGAGGAATTACAGGACAACACATTAAAACAGTATAGAATTTATGCTAAACTGCTTCACACCAAAGCTAAGCATTCTTAATAGATCACAGTTATACAAAGTCAGGCAACCCTGTTTAGTCAAGATAAGACTAACTCCTGGGTTCATTGGTACTGTACATCATTTTCATGCAGATGAGAATCATGTTTGCAGTTTATTTAACTCTTTACAGCATGTGAAAATGTAGGGTAGACATAGCCATGGTTTCAGAATAGCAGATAACCTCTTTTAACAGAAACATTCTCCACAGGGGTACAATAAAGGCAAACATTCCCTTCCCATGCTAGTGAAGAATTTTTCTTGCAAGGTCATTATAATGCCTAGTTATTTTGTTGACCTAAGTCTTAGTTCAGTGGATAAGTCTCCATTTCCATTGGTTTTAAATTCTTTTAGAATTTGCATAGTGGAAAAGGAATTCAAAGGTCGATGCTTGTCTAAAATGCATTTTAGTTTTAAAATGATAAAAACAATAAATAGACATACTTATGAGCAGCCCGATCATGCATATAAAACTATAAACTACTGATGAAAGATACCATGCTTAAAACCATTCTGAAGAGTTAGTGTTGATTAATCTACATTGTGACTTTACTGCTAAAATGCTTTGGAGCACTGGACACAGGGGTTCTGTAATCACCCATTCAGCAGATTATAGTAGTGTGGCTCACCTAACATTTTGGAGCTAAATCAGTACAGACCAGAAACACTATAACTGAGATTTTTCTAAAGAGAAAGAGGAAAAAATAAAATTATTTAAGGATTACAGAGGAATCAAATCTAGGGATATCTAATCAGTCCATGTTAGCAGTTGAATGCAAACCCACTACAGAGACAGAGGGATTATGCTAAGGTAACAGTTTGCTGTGCAAATCATGCTGACATACACAAATATTGTATTTTTTATTGTTAGATCTTAAATGTAGCAAAGTGTATTTTCAGGTAATCCACTCATTGTGTCTCCAGTGATGATACTGCGAGACTGTCAGCAGCCCTATTACCCTGCAACTCCCAACTGGTAACCCACTGAAGCTAAGCAGTCTGGTCAGTTCCTGGATGGGAGATCTCCTGGGAAAAACTAAGGTTGCTGCTGGAAGAGGTGTTAGTGGGGCCAGCTGGAGGCGGTCACCCTGCTGTCTATGAGGGTCCTAATGCCCCCAATATAGTCACAGGGATACTGTACTGTAAAAAGGCACCGTCCTTTGGATCAGACGTAAAACCGAGGTCCTGACTCTCTGTGGTCCCCAGGGTGGCTTTCGAAAAGAGTAGGGGGTGTTACCCCGGCGTCCTGGTCAAATTTCCCTTACCGATCATGGCCTCCTAATAATCCCCATCTATGAATTGGCTTCATTACTCTGTTCCCCTCCCCACTGTCTAATGAAGACAGTGATAACCTTGTCATTAGTTGACTTCATCTACATCTTAAACTTTGTTATTCTAGAAATGGCAAACATGTTTGATGTATACCTTACAAAAAATAGCAGTGAGTAGTTAGAACTAGTATTTTTTTTCTTTTCAGTGCTGTGTTTACATTCACATTTCTAAATGCTGAATCGAAAGACATTGTTTCTTTACATCTCATGCTGAATAATCTCTGGTTCATGCTATGTGTATAAACAGAAATACTGACAAATTT